GGATAAAATATGGTACATATACACAATCAAATATTACTCAGACTTAAATAAGATTGAAATTATGGCATTTGCAGGTAAATAGATGGAACTGGAGAATATCATGCTAAGCGAAATAAGCCAAACACAAAAAAACAAAGTCTGAATGTTTTCTCTGAAGATGCTAATCCATAATAGGGGTTGGGGAGAATGAAGGAACTTTGGGTTGTGTAAAGGGAGTGAGGGGAGGGGAAAGGATGGTGGGATGAGATGGACATTATTACCCTATATTCATGTATGATTACACTACTGGTGTGACTCTGTACCATGTTCAGTCAGAAGAAGGAGAATTGTGTTCCATTTGTGTACAATGTGTCAAAATTCATTCTGCTGTCATATATAACTAATTAGAACAAATAAATAAGAGACAAAAGTGTATTACAACAGTAAAACTGAAATCCAGAGGATCCTAAGGAAATATTTTGAAAACTTATATTATAACAAATTGGAAAATATGGAAGAAATGGAGAAATTGTTAGACACATAGACCTAACTGAACCAGGAGGATACAGAAAACCTAAACAGACCACTAACAAACAATAAGATTGAAATGGTAATTAAAAGTCTCCCACTGGATAAAAAATAATCCCAGAACTGGACAGATTCACAGTTGAATTTTACCAGATCTTTAAAGAACTAATGACAAGATTTTATTCTCTTTTATTACTGAGTAATAATGGCATTTGCAGGTAAATGGATGGAGTTAGAGAAGATAATGCTAAGTTAATTAGCCAATACCAAAAAAACAAATGCCAAATGTTTTGTTTGATATAAGGAGGCTGATTCATAGTGGGATAGGGAGAGGGAGCATGGGAGGAATAGACAAACTCTAGATAGGGCAGAGGGGAGGGAGGGGATGGGAGGGGGAATGGGATAATTAATGATGGTGGAATGTGATGATCATTATTATCCAAGGTACATGTATGAAGACATGAATTGATTTGAATATACTATGTATACAACCAGAAATATGAAAAACTGTGCTCTACATATGTAATAAGAATTGTAATGCATTCTGCTATTATATATAAATAAAAAAATCTAATGTCAATACTCCTCAAGTTATCCCATGAAATTGAAAGGGAGAGAATGCTTCTAAACTCATTCTATGAAGTCTGTTTCACGCTGATACCAAAACTGGATAAGGATATTTCAAGGAAAGATAATTATAGACCAACATTATTGATGACTGTAGATGCAAAAATCCTCAATAAAATATGAACAAATCAAATTCAAGGACACATTAAAAACACTATATACCAAAATCAAGTTGGTTTCATCTCAAGGATGCAAGCATGGTTCAACAGACACAAATCAATAAATATAATATATCACATAAATAAAAACAAGGACAAAAACCATATGATCATCTCAATAGATGCAGAAAAAGCCTTCAGCAAAATTCAGCACCCCTTCATGATAAAACCCCTGAAAACTAAGGATGAAAGGAACTTACTTCAACATCATAAAGACTATATATTATAAACCCAAGCCAACATAATACTGAGTGGGGAAAATCTAAAAGCATTTCCCCTCAAAGTAGGAACAAGGAAAAGATACCCACTTTTATCACTGCTATTCAATATAGTACTTTAAATTTTAGCCAAAGCAATTAGGAGAGAGAAAGAAAGAAAAGGAATATAAAGAGGAAAGGAGGAAGTCAAATTATCCGTATTTGCAGATGATATGATCCTATACTTAGAACACCTTAAAGGTTCCACCAGAAGACTGCTAGAACTGATAAACAAATTCAGCAAAGTAGCAGGATACAACTCAGCATACAAAAATCTATATACCAATAATGAATCTACTGCAAAAAAAAAAATCTCAGGAAAACAATTTTATTCACAATAACTTTTTAAAAAAATATTTAGGAATAAACCTAATGAAGGAGATGAAGCACTTCTACAATCCAAACTACAGAATACTGAAAAAAGAAATTGAATAAAGTGCTAGAAGAGAGAAAGATTGTCCGTTTTCATGGACAGGCATGATTAACATTGTTAAATAGCCACATTACCAAAAGCAATCAAAAGATTCAATGCAATTACCATCAAAATACCAACGATAGTCTTGACAGAACTTTAAAAAAAAATCCTAAAATTTGTGACAGAACAAAGCACCCGTAATAGCAAGAGTAATCCCGAGCAAAAATTGCAATGCTGGAGGCAACACAATACTTGATTTCAAATTAGACTACAGAGCCATAATAACAAAAGCAACAAAGTACTGGCAAAAAACAAACAAGTAGAACAGTGGAGCAAAAAAGAAGACAGAGAGAAATCCACACAGTTATTATCACCTGACTCTTGATAAACATGCCCAAAATATACAATGGAGAAAAGACAGTCTTTTAAAAACTGATGCTAGGAAAACTGAATATCCAGGTGCAGAAAACAAACTAGATTCCCTGCATCTTACCCTGTATAAGGGAACACAAAATGGATCAAAGATCTAGGATTTAGACCAAAAACTTGGCAACTGTTAGAATAAAAATAGGGGAAATACTTCAGCACATAGGCACAGGCAAAGATTCCCTGAATAGGACCCCTGTAGCTCAGGAAGTAAAACCAAGAATCAATAAATAGATTGCATCAAATTAAAAATCTTCTGCTCAGAAAATAAAATTATTAAGAGAATGAAAAGGAGTCTATAGAATGGAAGAAAAAATTTAAAAATTTTAAAATTTTTAAAAATTTTAAATTTTTTAAAAAAATTTAAACTTACTGTTTTTAGTTATATATACAATATCAGGATACACCCTTCATATTATCACAAAGGTCAGGAACTGAACCCACTCCAATTCATCTCCAGTACCCCACCCTGCCCTGATCCTCACCCTACCACTCTCCTCCCTCCACTCCACTGATCTCTGTTCAATTTATTTAGTTTTATTTTTTTAATTAGTGACCTATGGATATCCCTTATGCCAGGATCCATGGAGCCACATTCATACATGCACATACAAAAGTTTGGTCAAATTCATGCTACTGTGTTTTCCTTTTCCTGTCCTTTCTTCCTTCTCCTCAATCTTCTTCACCTACTCTACTCATCTTTCCTCTATTTTGATGAAATTTCCAGGGAAAAATTTTGGCAGCTACTCTTCCAACATAATTTATAAAGAACTTAAAAAAAAACTCAAAAAAAAAATCAATAATATGAAAAGACATTCAAATCTTTCAAATCTTTAGCCATCAGGGATATACAAATCAAAACTACACTGAGATTCCATCTCACTCCAGTCTAATTGGCAATCATCAAGAATGCAATTAACAATAAATGTTGGTGAGGATATGTAGGAAAAGGAACACTTACATACTGCTGATGGGAATGTAAATTGGTACAACCACTATGGAAATCAGTATAGAGGCTCCTACATTTAAGAGAAGTCCTTACAAATCAACAAAAATAAAATCTGATAAAAACAGGTAAGAATACAAATAAAAGAGTCACAAAAGTAAAAAATATTCAATAAATACAATGAAATATGATTAACTTCACACTGAAAATATATTTCACACTTAGAAAAATCACAAAATAGGAACCAGCCACGACCAACGGCATACACCTGTAATCCCAGTGGCTTGGAAGGCTGAGGCAGGAGAATTGAGAGTTCAAAGACAGCCTCAGCAATTTAGCAAAGCCATAAGCAATTTAGCCAGAAACTGTCTCTAAATGAGATCTAAAAAAAGGGCTGGGGATGTGGCTTAGTGGTTAAGTGTTCCTGGGTTTAATTTCCAGTACCAAAAAAAAACAAAAAAAAACCCTCACAGAATAGTATGATTTTTTTTTTTGTAGACATTCATATTGGGTGAAGTACTAGAGCATTCATGACGGGTGTAAATTGGGGAACAATTTTTGGGTGATAGTTTGGTGCTATCTACCAATATTTCAAAAGATTTTTCCTTTTATTCAATTTCAGTACTTGATTTCTAGCCAAAGAGAGATACACCCAAGTGTAAGTCTAAGAAGAATAAATGCATATGGGAAAATTACCCACAATCTAAGCATTCTAAAAAGAGACAATTGATATATTAAGTAACATCATTTGGTGGAATATTGGATGTCCATTAAAAATAGTGAGGTTGATGTAAAAAGAGCTCCGGTATTTTTTTAATATTTATTTTTTAGTTATGAGTGGACACATATGTTTTATTTTATGTGGTGCTGAGGATCGAACCCAATGCCTCACGCATGCTAGGTGAGCCTGCTAGGCTAGCGAAGACCTCCAGTCTTCTCAATAAAAGTCCTTAGTATGATCCCATTTGTCTGTGTACTGCAAAAATTTGGAGAGCTTTTAAGTTTTTCTATCAAAGTAATTGTCAAGCACTTGATTTATTGATCCTGTTTGGTTCAAAAAGAGGCACATATCCTAAAGAGGAACTATTTCAGCTGCTCCATTCAGCACAGAGGTCATCTAGACACCACTCCTGTCTCTATTCCTGCTAACTACACCTCTGTGAACATAAGAGATGTTTTCTACCTATAGAAGAGAGATACTGATTCATCAAAGAGAAAAGACAGTACAACTTATTGCTTATAATTTTCATGGTCCTAGAATTATATATGTATTATTATTATATATATATATGGCATATATATATATATATATATATCTTCATTGTTTTTCTACTTTTTAAATTTTTCTTCAGTTAATGTTAATAAAGATCCCAGGGTAATTAAATATAATCTGAGTCTTTAACAATAATTTCTTATGAACTTTTCAATTTTTAGAATAGTACACCTTATAACAAAACGTGAAAAGGAAACCCATATAAAGGAATGGAGAGTTATAAACTGAATTTCAATGGACCTTCCAACCACCTAGAAGTAATGTTGTTATAGGTTGAACTATATCCACCCCTCCCGGAGCCCCCTCCCCCCAAAAGGCTGTGTTGAAGCCTTAACTCCTGGTACCTCACAATGTGGCCTTATTTGGAAACAGGTTTGTTGCAGATGTAATTATGATGAAGTCAGACTGCAGTAGGGTGGGCTTTTAATCAGATGGCTGATGTCCTTACAAGGAGGAGCAAGTGTGGACACAGAGGCACAGGAAGAACACCCTGTGAAGAGGGTAAGGCAGAGACTGAAGAGAGAGGTCCTGCCACAAACCAAGGCACACCTGGGGCTGAAGAAACTGGAAGAGGCAAGGAGGGATCCTCCCCTCATGGCTTTGGGGAGAGCCTTTACTTGACCCACTAACATTTGGAACTTGGACTTGCAGCATCCATTACTGTGGGAGAAGAGATTTCCACTGTTTTGAGCCTCTGAGTACTCACTATGGTACTTTGTTTTACAAGCCTTAGGGAACCAACCCAACACCTCTGGATATATTTTGCTTAACTAACCATCAAATGAGGTAATTTCTTACTAATGTGAGGTAAGTAGCCACAATGCTGTGATGAACTACAGTAGTTAGAATAATCTCCAGGAGAACCCTGCTAAACTTCCAACATCTCAGGAAATTAACTGTAGGAAAATAAGGATTTCATTTTAGATGTTGAAAAGTGTATATGGCAAATCAGAATTTAAGAAATAGGAAACCAAAAGATATGGGCATTTAGAAAGGAGAGTTCAAGTAAATCAAAGCTGTAAAAATCTATTGTTGCAGGGTTTTTTTTATACATTGTTATTAACTTAAAAGTCTTACATTGTTTTATATCTCTGTAATAATTTCCAGTTTTCTCATTAGCAGGAGTAGTTTCCCCATGAAGTTCATTAGCAGAAGTAGTTTCCCCATGAAGTTCATTAGCAGGAGTAGTTTCCCCATGAAGTTCACTAGCAGAAGTAGTTTCCCCATGAAGTTCATTAGCAGGAGTAGTTTCCCCATGAAGTACTGTACTTGAATGAGGAGTAAAACTTATATGAGTTTCTTCTTCGTGTGCATGATTAATTGTAGTTCCGTCTCCATGTGCATGATCAATTGTAGTTCCGACTCCGTGTGCATGATCAATTGTAGTTCCTTCTCCGTGTGCATGACCAATTGTAGTCGTGTGTTCATCATTGAAAGATGTCACATTGGGTAACTCTAAAAAAAAAGTATAACACATCATGGATCAGAAATATGTTGTTTTCCTTTGCAACTTTCTATTTTTCACTGCAGTGTTTTACAAACAATTTGAGAAAGCAATTTAAAATCTAAGTTATGCCATGTCCCCCAATAAACTTTACACCATCCTGTACAAAGCTGCCACATACCAGTGTTCCACGGTTAAGAGTCATCCTTCACATCTACCATTCTGTGATATTTGAAATGTCTACTCACCTTCCATGTTGGGTTTCAAGTTGTTAATTCCTGAGGGAAAAACCCCAGATAAAAAAATTAAAAATATAAAACTCATGGGGAAATTGATGTGATTTATCCAGTGATTTGTGACTTCTCCTCAGAGCCTCGTATCTGTGTCACAGGAGGTCCTATGACTAACTAGGACATTATGACATCACTGCTTGTGGGAGTCAGAATGCTGGAGAGCATTCATCAGAGCTTTGGGACTCGATCTCCACACTTTCATCTTTTGCACATAGAGAAAATGAGAACATCATGTGAAGATAAGATAAAGGCATAGACGAGGGGATGCAGCAGAAGCCAAGGAAAGCCAGATGGCCAGCAAGCCACCAGAAGGTGGGAGAGGCCTGGGACAGGTGCTGCCTCTCAGTCTTCAGAAGAAACCCATCTGCAGATACTTGATGTAAGGCTTCAGGCCTCCCAAACCATGAGATGATACATTGGTGCTGGTTAAGCCATTCAGTTTGTGGAACTTTGTTCTGGCAGCTCTAACCTGCTAATACAACAGAGAAACCATTTGGGGGTTTGAGGAGCACTTGTCTGATTTAACATTGATACTAACATTGGTTTGGGTTATTGTTTTAAAATAAACCATTATAAGAGTTTCTCTGTAAGTTAATATGTTTTCAAGAATGTTAATTATTGGTTCCTGGGTTTTAAAGAATCATTGGTATTCTGTGTAGTAAAATGAAAAGCAACCATTTTGGTTTTAATACAATTACAATATGTTCTTTTGGGTAAGCTGCAATCAAACTACGTGCTAAAAACTAGTCAGAGAAAGCAAGATTCAAACCAAATGTCCTGCAAGTTCTGGTTCATGAATTGTTTACAATTCTTTGGGATTCTAAAACCTAGATCCTATATAAAATCTGTTTTGTTTCATATATTTCTATTAACAAAGTCCATGTTTTACTTCACATTCAGATTGAGAAAGGAATATAAAATTTCAGTGGTCAGAATAGGACTTAGGAATAAATAGTAATATCTTCATGGATTATTGATATATTACCATAGATTATTCATATATACTATCTCAAGTAATAAGCCATGAAGACAGGAAAGCAAATGGACTCAATTTTTCTTCATATTAAAGGCTCACCTATTTTCCCATCTCAGTTTTAGCTATAGTTCATCATAGCCTCTCAACACTGAGAGACAGTGATAATCAAAATACCACAAGCATCAGGAAAATGCAGGATGACTATGAAAAGTTTTCCAGTGGAGAGAAAGCTCACAAATTAAATCCAACCTTTGGTTCTATCCTGAACATGACCTAGGACTCAGCAGAGTTCAATTGCCTAAGGCGAGGAACAAGCAGAGAGGACTTGTCAAAGGGAAAAGATGTCAGGCTAGCAAGCCTCAGCATGGGAGCCTTAGTCAACCAAAGGCAAGTGGACCCATATATAGCACTGGTTTCCTTTTAGACCCTTTAGCTCATTGTCAAGTGAAAGCTGGGAGGGGGGAAAGAATGTGAATGAATAAAAAGCTGGCAGATCTTTGGAGGCCTTTCCTTTGGTGTCTAATAGGCTGCAACCCATCAAGGGCTTTGGAGGACACAGCCATGAGGAAGCTTGGTAAAGCACCGAATTTCACAGGAGGAGTAGTGGCATCTCATGGAACCATTAGCTGGACCTGGTGATACCCAGGAGACAGAACCATCCAAAGACATATCACTGTGTGCCTCAAATCTGCCCAGGGTATGCAAGTGTGCTTGGTCAATGAGTGCTTAGTTCAGAAAGCACTCAAGTGCCAAAAGTCAGCCTTGCATTTTTGAACACCATATATTCCTCTCTGTTGAGTCCTCTTCTAGTCCCAAGACAGTTATTTTTATTTGCTGATATGATAAATACTCTCCACAGGTGATTGCCTTGATAGAGCCCAACTGTGCTAGACTTATTTTAAAAATAACGTTAGATTTCATGAAACTATTTCAGTTAGTTTGAATATTGATTCTAATTTTCCTCTGTGCCATGATTCATCCTCCTTCTGAAATGTCTCAATAGATGTTATTAGTTGAACTGTATGCTTCCAGATTCCTATGTTGAAGCTCTAACCTCCAGGCTTCAAAATGTGGCCTTGCTTGGAGATGTGGTTGCTGCAGATAACAATTTGTTAAGATGAGATCATCCTGCAGTAGTATGGGGCCTTAAAACAACATAAGTGGTATTTTTATGAACGGTGTGATTTGCACAGAGGGACACAGAATGAGAACATCATGTGAAGATAAAGGCAGAGACAAGGGGATGCAGCAGAAGCCAAGGAAAGCCAGATGGCCAGCAAGCCACCAGAAGGTGGGAGAGGCCTGGGACAGGTGCTGCCTCTCAGTCTTCAGAAGAAACCCATCTGCAGACACTTGATGTAGGGCTTCAGGCCTCCCAAACCATGAGATGATACATTGCTGCTGGTTAACCACTCAGTTTGTGGAACTTTGCTCTGGTAGCTCTAACCTACTAATACAACAGAGAAACCATTTGGGGGTTTGAGGAGCACTTGTCTGATTTAACACTGCTCTTATGAAACAGTATGAAAGAATTGCAAAAAAAAAAATGTAGAAATAAGTAAAATTCAAATTGAAAAATAATTTCAAGTTTCCCATTGTTTAAATGCAGAATAAAATACAGGATATGGAATTGTCTAGATTCACAAAGAGGTGAAGCAAGACTGCTGAGTGTACCCTGCTCTCTGCATGTTTTCCACGTGGTGGTCACTGGTTTCACTGTACTGATGTTGCTACAGTCAGGTTCCCAAAGCAGAGATTTGAACTTCTCATTCTCATATGCATACACATACATACACACTGCTCTCTGTACATTCCAATGTAAAAATTTCCTTTGAAAAAATTGAAAAGACCTAAATTAATCATACCCATAGATGTTTAGATGTAAGAAAATACCTAAAATTTCCAAGGATACAATAGGCCAAACATCTAAAAATGGCACAAGCACAGATCATATCATAAAATGAAAATAACCTTATTTAATAGTAACTTAAATATGTTTATTTCTTTTCAACAGATCAGGCATTTTCTGAATTAGGGATCAGAAAGAAAAATACAGCCTCACCTCCAGAGGCTGAATATGCAAGCCAGATGTGATGAGATGCAATGCTTGCATCCATACTTGGATTACATTACCTTTACAGGACAGAAAGAATGGTTTCCACAGGAATGTCTGAAATGCTTCATTTTGTTGGTGAACTTTCTCCAGCTATAAGTAAAATTCCCCAACAAAATGTCCCCAATAAATGTAAAGTAAAACTTGACATAACCACATTCAGATGAAAACTGAATGAGTGAATTTTCTAGAAATTTCAGTAAATAAAAAAAAAGTTATATTTTAATGACATTGGTCCTAAATGTTTAGGGTTTATTTTAATAATTAATAAAAGTTATAACACTTCCTTTGCAATTTAGAAATATGCATAATGTTCTTGAATAATTCAAACACACACAAAAAAATCCCAAAATATAACCCCAGTACATATTAAAAAAAACTTAGATAATTTATAATGCAATTTGTTTCATAAACAATACTTAAAATACTATAACATGTAAGGTTATAGTTAGGGATAAACAATAAAATATTCAAGAATCATGTCAAACTTTTCATATAAAGCTCTGTGTCATTGACTGTAGTTTGCAATAAATGGATTTTAGGAGAAGTATTTGAACAAGAAAAATCTCACTTTGATGAGTGGAAAATAAAAGACTTTCCTATACCTTTCCTTTGGATCTGAGAGGTTGAACATGTAAACACTTTCATCTGCTTTGAAGTGGCTGCTACGAAAGCCTGTCTGCCCTTAATAGTAGCCTTTATCTGTACCGCCTTTGATGGTTATCATATTAGGTGTCTCCCAAAAGCTCATATGTAAGACAATGCAAGAGCATTCATAGGTGAAATATTAGGGTTACAAGAGATTTAACCCAATTGGTGAACTAATCCCTGATGGTATTAATTGGATGATAACTAAAGGTGGGTAGGGGATATTCGGAGGAGGTAGGTCATTGGGGATGAGCCTTTGCGTTATCTGCTTCCTGGTCATCATGTAAACAGCTTCCCTTTGCCACTCTCTTCCTAAGTTCTGAATCTGCAAATAATGAGGACAGACATTTATGGTTAAAAGGCTATGTGAAGACAATACACTTACTTTTAATGAAAATGGCAGATAATGGGAAACCTAACACTTGGAAAATCCTCACAAGTAGGAATCAATTTACTGACTGCCCACTTGTGCCCCCTGGTGAAAGGTAAGATACCAAGCATTGAAATAACTTTAGAGTTTACAAGGTAGTTGTGCTGAAGTTTTCTGCCAGGTGGAGGTAAAGAAGTAAATGACTCGTGTCGAATTCATCAGGGTGTACAATTCTCTCTTTTGCTTCAGAAGTGATTTTGAGATCTTGTGGGGAAAAGGATCAAACAATTTTAGAACAGTGAAAGCACAATAAATTTAGCACATTTCTTGAAAATCCACATGGTTCTATGCTTACAAAAGACAGTCCTAGATATTAGGATAAAAATGTATAAAAGCACTGAATTTGGATAATTTCATCTGCATAATAGATTCCTGTTAAAAAAAAAAAGAAACTTCTAATTTGTAAAAATTGACTAGGAGTTACTGATTATGAATTCTGGCAAATGTCAACTCTGCAAGATAGTATGGCTGGTCAATGACCAGATCTTTTTCCTTTTCATTCCAAAATATTAGTCATCAAATTACTATATATATATATATATATATATATATATATATATATATATATATATATATTTCATAAAGATACATATATAATTTATATTTAAGAAAAATAAGTAGATGAAGAACAAAAGGGATAAAGGAGGGAAAAAATTCACCAACCTGCTTAGTATTCTTTCCCTTCTGAGCTTTATTTTCTGCGAACTCACTGAAAACTCCAAGACCTTCCTACAATGTGCCATCAGAACCAGATCAGGTGTCACTCTCAGGAAGACCCTAAGCAGAAGCATTTTCCATTAATTTTCTGTTTTCAAAGCTAGGGAAATCTTCACTCCTCTCTCACTCCCAGCACTCTGTCTTTGGCAAGCTCATCTGCATCAGAGAACAGGGGCTGGCTTGGAGAGCACCAACATCCACTTTCTTTCCCTGGAGTATTATGAATGGTTCTTACACGCCTTTGGTTCTTTGAACAACATTCTTTAGGACTTTCTCACTGCCAGGTGCACAGGATAGACCTTCTGAAATAACAGCCACACCTTTTCTCCTCACCAAGTCCTCCCATCTTAGACACATGGGTTTCAACAACTCCATAAACTCACATTACTTAACGTTCAGCGGAGTTTCCTGAGAGATTTAAAGTGTTTCTGATTTGTCAGTGTCATCATTTATTATGTGGTAGTTTAACCTGTTTTCCTCTTCTGTGCCACCAATTTGAAAATGTCTCTCCCCACCAGGGCGAGTCATATGTATCCTTTCATCCACATTCTGGTGTCTGAAGTCACTGAATATTTTGAGGAGTCATGACTGGAGGTAACTCTCTTATAAGATCATCTTCATCAGCTTCATGAAGATTGACTGTAATTCTCATGAGTAGAAACATAAAGTCTTTGGGTCTCCAGTTTGTGCCGATTTCTACCCACAGAGTAT